AATGGGAGACGCTATTTCTATCCCCAAGCCTGGGAAGGATCCATGCCGCCCAGAGAGTTACAGACCTATCACGCTGCTCTCTGTTTTACTAAAGTTAGCCGAAGGAATGATTCACCGCCGTCTGTCAGCGTTATTGCCGCACCACCCACGTCAATTTCGGATTTGCACCTCCGCTTTCTACGTCGGACGTGGTGGCACTTGTTATCGACAAATTACTCGTGGATTGAATGAGTTTGGCATTGTGGAGCATGAGCGCCCTGGAGACGACGCCCCCACACGACGCCCTCGTCGCCATCGCTTGCTTGTGGTCTCGATTGACATTTCGACTGCGTTCGACACCACTGACCATGGGAAGTTATTCCGCATGCTTGACAGACTTCCGCGCCTTGGCCTCGAACCAAACGCTGGCTGCACAACTACCTGCGGGGCTGCCGTGTTAGGGTATGCACTCGTGAACAGCACTCCCGGAAACAACTCGCCTCAGCTGGAGCACCGCAAGGCGGCGTCCCGGGACCCCAACTCTCCCTCTACTGTGTGGATGATCTGCTGCGCCGCCTGGGCAGCATCTATTCTGCCTCCGCATTCATGTACGCTGACGAACACACGCTTGTTGCCTTGTGTGCAGACATCCATGCCTGTGCTGCGGCGATGCGACCGCTCTTGTCTCTTGTGGCCACATGGACTGCCGAGCACAGCCTAAAAATCAACGTCGCCAAGAGCGAAGCTGCTCTATTCCACATCGCTTCACACACACACGGTCTGACGAGGACATGGTCGATCTCCATCTTGTTAGCGGGAACCTGCGTATTCAGTCACGCCCAGTGCGCTTACTGGGCAACACGATTGATCAACTTCTTAATTCTGTTGCGCATGCTTCCACCGCTGCAAAGAGGACCATGCCACGCCGCTATCAGCTGCGACTGGTCGCAGAGGCGGGCACGTCCCATCACACCATGCGATCCTTTTTGATTGGATACGTTCATAGTGTGCTATTTCATAATGGCGAGGCAATTCTCCCGTGACTCGCCCCCACTCACCTCCATAATATGGAAGTACGGTACCGCGACGGTGGCAAAACATTCTTGGCCTGAGCGCATCTACGGAAGACACATCCGTCTATTTGGAGGCCAATATTCTTCCGCTCCGGAAGGTACTCTGGCGTCGTGCACTCACACAATACGAACGCTATATACGCCTCCATGATCACGAGGATTTGCGTTCCCTTATCTACTCGCAACCTATGCCGCCGTCCATGCATGGGAAAGCGGCGACATCAATCCGCTTCCGAGAGATGCTGTTATTAATGGATTGCTACGCGTCTGTGACATTATTGGGACACCCCACAACCACATTCGCGCCTCTTGCCCAACATCGAATTTTTCCCTGGGACACTGTGATCTGCAACAAGGTGAGATTTTATCAGCCACTGTTTGCCGAAGACGCCTCTGACGATGTCGGGCGCACGGCTTTCTATTCTACTCACTCCTCTTTGGGGGATTGTGATTTTGAATTGTGGACGGACGGTCCTTCATATCTCGCTGCACTCGCGTCTGGATCCGCTGCGCTATTATATGACTCCACCACGACAAATGATCTCCCTGTGGAGGTACATCGTGCAGCAGCTGGCAGCCTCGCATGCTCATATAGGGCAGACTGCCTTGCGATCGAAAATGTTTTTATACATCTCATACCTCCTTGTCCGGGAACATCCCAATCGCCCACGCCAATGCTGGAGGAAACGGACTCCCTCTCGGCAATGGAGGCACCCCGCGTTGCCCACCGACCGTGCGAGACCGCGTTACTGAGTAAATTTGGATTATGCTGCTTTCCTTGGTGAAGCGAGGTCACCCTGTGGATTTTATATTTTCCCCTCACACTGCGGTATTCCACGCAGTGAGGCCGCTGACGACGAAGTCACGATTGCACGATCCCTCTCGCAGGACTGCGTCAATGCCTGGCACGTGGACTTCCTTACCGCCGTCAAGAGGTTATAATGGAAGGATGCCCAGGAGGAAAAGGATGGCGCGCACACCGCGTGACAGGCGCCTGTCGGTGTGGCGAGGACTCCGTTCCTGGTGTTGACCCGGACATCGGTCCCCGAGTGGCGGCACTGCGCACAGGCGCGATGCGACACCCGCCCACTCTTCGACAGGCCTGCACGCGCCCTGCGGATCACAAGGAACCCTCTGTGTCGGTGGTGCCGTCCCTCCCTCACTGCGGTGACCGGCCCGCCTCTGCCTCCGCCGGAACCTCTTCCCGACGTGAGCACCGCAACTCCTTGTCGACCAGCGAGCGGCGGATTGATGTCCTCCTGCCCAACCTGCGGCTGAGTGCGCTTGTCCGTCCACAGTATGAGGGCACATGCCGGACGTGCTCAGCCTGGCGTTATAATAGTTAGCGAGGGCCTCCCATGCGGATGCCACAATGGCGCCACCGTCTTCTTAACGGGTTCCTCGCGCGCAGGCCGCCACCGAAGTTGCCAAGCATGCCAGCAGGCAAGACACGCAGGAGGCACAAACGCGGGTACTCGAGATGGACCAGGCTCTTCCGCCACCGCCTCATCACGGACGCCACGGGCTGCTGATCCCCGACGGACCGCGGGAGACTCCGCCTCATCCACTGCGGGAATGCCCTCGTCGTTGGGAACTGGGACTGCGACTGTGTGTGACTGCCCCAGCCCGCACGACGGAATAATTGCCACTTTTGTACGGACGGCCCTTGCGCTACTCACTCGCTATTGTAGCAGCATACAACCAAAACAAGATAACAAGCTGCTTTGTGATGAATATTGGCTGCACCTCCCGTGGTACAACAATCCGCGTGGTGTGCGGGGATCTCCTTTTTGTATTGTTACTTTGCTTTTGTGTTGCTGTGTGCGCTGCACCTTCTTGTGTGTGTGCGCACCCTCCGTGAGGGGTGCCGACACGACGGGCCGCTCTCGCCGCATGTGCATGCGGTGGAGCCTTGTGTGCCGCTCCTGTTTGCTTCTCCCTCTTCCATCTGTGTGTTGGTGTTGCGGCAGGGCTGTGTGTGTGTGTGTGCCTGCTGCCGTGGATTGGAGTGTGTGCTGCGCGTGGTGTGCGGCGTACGGTGCATGCCTGGCTGCTGCCCTCTCCTCATGTGGTGTGCCCTCTGTGTGTGTCTGCCGCACCTCTCGTCTCCCCTGTTGCTCTCAATTTCCCTCACTGTGCAGATCAGCTCCACACCACTGAACGACCACACTCACGATGATGATGACGTGCCGTCTGCTGTGCGCCCTGTTGGTGGTTGCCCTGTGCTGCTGCTGCCCGTCCGTGTGCGTTTCAGAGGAAGCTGCCGCTCAGCCTGTGCCTGAAGGGTCTTCCAATACGACCACGACGACGACCACAACAAAACCACCAACTACGACCACAACGACCACAACAAAGGCGCCAACCACGACGACCACCACTACAACACAGGCACCAAGCACTACGACTACAGAGGCGCCAACCACGACGTCCACCAGCGCACCGTCACGTCTTCGCGAAATCGACGGCAGCCTCAGCAGCTCTGCGTGGGTGTGTGCCCCGCTGGTGCTCGCCGCATCCGCGCTGGCGTACACCACTGTGGGCTGAAGAGGTGTGTGCGGGCTGTGCGTGCCAGCACTCAACCGCGGGGATTTGTGCGCGTGTGTTGTGGTTCACTGTATAAAATAAGAGAAATAATGATCTTGTTTTGCTTCAATTGCTTCTGCTGCCGTGCTGTGTGCTCCGCGTTGCGCCCCGCATCCGTCACGTTGAACGCATCGCGGACTCACTCATATGCATGCGCACTGGAGCCCTGGGTTTGTTTTTCTTTTTTTAATTTCTTTTTTAATTGTTGTTTTTTATTGCTTTTAAACTTGTGGTTTGCGGTGTGGTGTGCGAGCTATGCAGTCGTACTGATTCCATCTGTGTCGTGGTGTGTGCGCTGCTGCTGGGGTGCTGCCGTTTGTTGCTGTGCGTGGTGTAGCGGTCGTGTCTATTTTTGCTTTCCTTCTCTGTTGACGGGGAGTTACTTTTGCTGAAGGCTGCACGCAAGTGACAGGAGTGGTGGCGATGATGACTGGCCGTGTGCTTCTGGTGTGTGTCCTCTGCGTGCTGTGGTGACGATAGCGGTACGTGTGAGTATTAGCTCTTGCGGTGGCGTGCTCAGCTGCGGAGGGAGTGCGCGATGGATGGCAGCAGAAGGACAGGAGGCAGGGCGAATGCGTCCGCCGTGGAGGAATGCGTGCGTAATTGGATGGCCGTCGTCGTTGTAGGCGCCAAGGGATTGCCGTTGCTGCTGACACCGCTGAGGATAGGGGGGTATGCTGCAATCCAATGAACACTCAACGAGATGCGTCACCAGCCGCGTAGATCGCCTGCCGTTAGAACGAGGAGAAGACAAGGCGGCGCGCCACCAGCGGCACCGGCAGTATGTGGAGGATCAGCGGGATGGCGTTATTTGCCGCCCGAAATGAAAACGAATGTGTCGGAGTCACACGACGCATTGAGTGGTGCTGGACAGCGGGAGGAGTCAACTGTGAATGGTTCAAAAGGCAAGGCTCAGATGCTGATGGCTCCTGTCACTGTGGGGCGCCTGGAACTTGTGCCCCAAAGGGAGCGAGCATTGCCCTCTTCGGATGGCAGTCGCGCCACTGGCAGTCGGGAAAACGAATCCGCTCAGGATGAAAAGTTGAAATTCGCAGAGTCATCGGGGGCGGTGGGACAGAGGGAGGAGCCCAGCCCCCATCACAGCCTGCCATTGGGGAGCGAAAAGGATCACTACCAACAAAACCAGCCGCAGTACCGGACGAACAAATAAGACAAACAGCAGGGGCAGGAACCGCCGCAAGGGGCAGAAGGGTCTGACAGCCGACATGAAGTTTCATGGCCAGAGAATGGCGAAGGTAGCGCCAAAACACGATGTGGGCTCAAACACAACTTTTGCACAGGTACCGGGTGATGCACCACAAGAAGAATCGGGAGGAGAAGTTGCAGTAGAAGCAGCTGGTGGAGATGAGGCAGAAAGGGAAGAAAGTTGCAGCACACCAAGACACCGTGCAGCATGCACCATCTCCCATTCACGAGAGGCCATCGCAGTCATCGTCCTTTTCAAATGGCGGCTTTGCTGCATTAGATTGGAAAGAGGAATGCACCGTGCAGGAGATTTTCAAACAGCCTCCACTTTCTGACGCTGCAGAGAAAACAGAAACGTACCGGCGTGGAGACAAAGCGCCTGCTGCCGAGGCTGACAACTGCACCGCATTTCTTCCAGCTGCAGAGTTTAACGCCGCCGCCAGCACCACCACGACCAATCATAATGCGAGCCATCCGAACGGAGAGGACGCCGGACCCTCCACAGAAGAAGTGGAGAAGAAGAATGCAACAACAAAACCGAAGGCACATCAGCCGGCAAAGTTACCCCCGCAGCCCACAGCGAGGGGTTCAAGAGGGACACCGCCACTAAAAATATAAACACAGCTTTGCATGGCGGCAGTGACAGCAGCACCGTAGTCTCCCACACCACCTCCCTTTCTTGTTTCTTGTTGCGTGCGCAGCAGCTCCTGTTGCGGTGGTGACTGTGCATGCATGAAATTGAGTGCGATGAATGTGGACGAAGGCCTATTGCAACTGAACTGCTTGTGGTGAATATTGGCTGCACTTCCCGTGGACCAACAATCCGCGTGGTGTGCGGGGATCTCCTTTTTGTATTGTTACCTTGCTTTTGTGTTGCTGTGTGCGCTGCACCTTCTTGTGTGTGTGCGTACACTCCGTGAGGGGTGCCGACACGACGGACCGCTCTCGCCGCATGTGCATGCGGTGGAGCCTTGTGTGCCGCTCCTGTTTGCTTCTCCCTCTTCCATCTGTGTGTTGGTGTTGCGGCAGGGCTGTGTGTGTGTGTGCCTGCTGCCGTGGATTGGAGTGTGTGTCGTGCGTGGTGTGCGGCGTACGGTGCATGCCTGGCTGCTGCCCTCTCCTCATGTGGTGTGCCCTCTGTGTGTGTCTGCCGCACCTCTCGTCTCCCCTGTTGCTCTCAATTTCCCTCACTGTGCAGATCAGCTCCACACCACTGAACGAACACACTCACGATGATGATGACGTGCCGTCTGCTGTGCGCCCTGTTGGTGGTTGCCCTGTGCTGCTGCTGCCCGTCCGTGTGCGTTTCAGAGGAAGCTGCCGCTCAGCCTGTGCCTGAAGGGTCTTCCAATACGACCACGACGACGTCCACAACAAAACCACCAACTACGACCACAACGACCACAACAAAGGCGCCAACCACGACGACCACGACGACCACCACTACAACAGAGGCACCAAGCACTACGACTACGGAGGCGCCAAGTACTACGACCACCCGCGCACCGTCACGTCTTCGCGAAATGGACGGCAGCCTCAGCAGCTCTGCGTGGGTGTGTGCCCCGCTGGTGCTCGCCGCATCCGCGCTGGCGTACACCGCTGTGGGCTGAAGAGGTGTGTGCGGGCTGTGCGTGCCAGCACTCAACAGCGGTGATTTGTGCGCGTGTGTTGTGGTTCACTGTATAAAATAAGAGGAAATAATGATCTTGTTTTGCTTCACTTGCTTCTGCTGCCGTGCTGTGTGCTCCGCGTTGTGCCCCGCATCCGCCACGTTGAACGCATCGCGGACGCACTCATAAGCATGCGCACTGGAGCCCTGGGTTTGTTTTTCTTTCTTTAATTATTGCTTTTTAATTGTTGCTTTTTATTGCTTTTTAAACTTCTGGTTTGCGGTGCGGTGTGCGAGCTCTGCAATCGCACTGATTCCATCTGTCTCGTGGTGTGTGCGCTGCCGCTGCTGGGGTGCTGCCATTTGTTGCTGTGCGTGGTGTAGCGGCTGTGTCTCCCTTTGGTTGTCTCGTGCTATCGCAGGTTGGCTCCGCAGCGTTAGGCGACTCCACTGTTCGTGATGATGACTGGCCGTGTGCTCTGCGTCCTGTTGGCCCCTGCAGTGATGTGCAGCTGCTCGTGCGTGTGAGTGAGGGCTTCTGCGACGGGGTGCGTGTGCGGCCGCGGGTGATGGCGCGGTGACTGCTGGGCATGCGCGGGGTGTGATGGCTGCGGAAGGTGGACCCGTGGCCGGTGGCTCTGGACGAAGGGGGAATGTGAACTCTGAGGGCAATAGCAATCAGGAAGACGAGGAGGGTGGGGGAAGCATTGAGGGTGAGGGTCACAATCCCACCTCGGGAGGAGTACTCACTGCACCGACGAGGCAGGACCAATCCAGCAGCGACCCACTGCGAAGTGGCAATTGCAATCTGTCCGGCACTGGCAGCGCGTCTGCTGCTCGGATGCGTGCAAGTGGACCGGAGTCTTTGGGCGGAGGGCACGCCGCAGGCACAACATCCCCACGCTCCGACGCGTCTCAGCAGGCAGCGGGTGGAGTGCATGCTGGTGGCGGGAGGACCTCCCAGGGCAGTCAGGCTTCGGAACAGACCGTCACGGGACAGTCACAGGTGCCGGGGACGGCGAAGGAAGCACCGCAGGGCGATGAAGGAGGAGAACCCGGAGCACAACACGAGGCCGACCAAACCACAAAAATGACTGTGGTGGCCTCTTGCGCAAAAACAGCGGTGGAAGAGGAGAGCCGCCAGCGGGATCGCAAGATGCACCACGTCTCTGCAGTGGCGGGAATGCCCATTATTATTATTTTTCCCTGCTCTTACCGACATGTCTAGCCACACGATGTCATCAGGGTGCCGAGGGGATGGTCGAGCAGCGACATGAGTTTCCTGCTATGAGGCAGCTGCCATTGGGAGAAGCTTTCGGTGCGAAGGTCCTTCTTGATGCCCAGCCGTTGGCGCACAGCCAGAGCGTCTGTACATTCTGGAAGCAGATGGTGCAGCGTTTTCTGCGGGCTAATTGTTGCGCTTGTGGAGGCTGGCTGATCCTGCGGTAGCAGTGATTGCCTCCTGGCACTGCTGCTGCGGTGTCGATCAGCGTCTGGGTTTTGTGCGCGGCGATTTCTGTGCTGTGCGGTGCTTTTTTTGTGTGGGGAGGACCGTGTCGCAGCAATCGCGGTGGAGGTCGGGAAGCGGTGGAGGGCGTTCCGGATGAAATCACCGACAGTGACCGATGTGGTTCGTGTGTCCCACCAATGTGGCGTCACAGTGCGGGCATTTCTTCTTTCGACGCCGTGTGGAGGGCCGTCTCTCCACAGGCGGTGCGTCTTCCTCCCTTGTTGTCGGGGGAACGGCTTCCGTCCCGGTGCGGTGGGATCTTCGTTGGAGCGCATGAAAGCGGACTGTTCCGGTGAGATGTTGCGGAAACGGCGTTGGTTCGTGCAGTCTCTCACAGTCCAGTACAGGCGACCCCAGAGCTCGGATTCCCCGCACCCTTCCCGTGCAGTGTTTATCCGTTCCTGTTGGTCGAGGGCTTCCTGAGTGATCAGGTGCTTGCCGCCTGGATCTGATGGCCTGGCGCCGCCAAGCAGGTAGTGGTGGGTGTCCTGATGCATGGTACTACGCCACTTGTTGGTGAGCTGGGTGTTAATGCATGTCAGCAGGTCCGTGTGCCACATGGGCGCTATTCCTTGCTCCGTGCATTGCCCGGTTGCCGTGTTCTGCGTCTAATGATCTGCAGGCTCGTTAACATGTACTCCGCAATGTTTGTAGCAAAACTGCAGCTGCACGGACCAGCCAGCACGCGTCAGCGACAAGAGACGCTGCCAGATCCGATCCTCCGTCCAGTCGGTATGACTGTGCGGGCCCTTGGTGACGGCAGCTAGAAGGGAATGACTGTCTGTAACCACAAGCAGGGTTTTTGTCTGTGCTGGATACGATGGTCACTCAGCCTTTCCATGGCCGGGAGCAGTGCACGGGATTCCGTCGTGCGGCTGCATGGGCGTGCGCCGCCGTTGGTACTGACCTTCTCTGTTGTCTCCGAGGAATGCAGGGATGAGAGCAGTATGCCAATCCCGGCTGACGTGGGAATGTCAACACCGCTATTCTTCGTAATTATCCACGGTCCCCAGCGATGGCGTTGCACCTTGTCGCGGTGCTGGGCTTTGTTTGCGTATAGGAACTCCGCAGCAGGGCGTTGCTGCGAGCACGACGGAGACCAAGGTGACTTCACCCCCCGAGAAGGTTCCACGCCATGCCCGGTGCGGGGAGGTGAGGCGGTCTGCCTGCAGACTGTCGGACAGAACTGCACGACCGTTTCGCAGCGGTCACTCCGTTGATATCACCCGTGGCGGTGTCGTTCACAAGAACCATGGCCGAGGAGGATGGCTTCATCAATATTTGGCAGCTCAACATTGCAGGCCTCTCGTCCGTGAAAAAGATTGCATTTGCTGCGCGATTGGAGCAGCGTCCACCTGACATCGTTCTTCTGCAGGAAATAAGTAACCGTGGTGGCGTGGCGACGAAATTATGTGGCAATAATGACTGCCTTCAGGCCTCACTGGGCGCGGTGGTGGTGTTGCTGTTCTGGTGCGCCACTCTCCACCGTGCGAGCGCCCGTCGCTCCCTGGCACTGACCTCCTGGAGACCATTGCTGTCCGTGTATTTCCGCCGGGTTGTCGCAGCATTTGCGTGGCGAATCTCTACAACCCTCCCACAGCAATTGGTCAATAATCCGCATTTATCAATATCTTTTGTCGCTTGTGCCCGAAGAGATTATCGCGGGTGACCTGAATTTGCATCGTGAACTCTGAGACAGTCATATGTACCATCAAGGACTGGAGGCGATGACTTCGCCGCTGTTCTAATCGATATGGATTTTGGGCTGGCAAATTACCCGACACAGGCAACACGGATCACACATCGTAATGCCTCGTCCCCTGACGTGACTGCGTATTGCGCCCTACGCATCTCCCACTGGACATTCGCCCCTTACATGGACTCGGACCACTGCTGAATATCCTACTTGGTAGAGATGGACGATGGCACTCCACGACCAGCAAACACGCTGCCTCGACGGAAGAAATTCACCTTTGCCCTGCGTAAAGCGGATTGGCCTGCTTTTACATCGTTGTGTGAAACCCTCCTTGCCACCGCGTCCACATGGTTGGATCCTCGCGGAGGCATCTTACGAGCAGCTGAGCGCCATATCCCGCGCGGCAGCCGTGACAGCTCCAAAAAGACATGGACACACGAAATGGAACAGGCCGAGTCCGCCGCCGAAGCAGCACACGAAGCACACACATTGCCTCACCCGGAGACAGCCTACTTTGAGCCGAATGCACCCGAAAAAAGGGAGGAACGAAATCAAGCCTTACGCCGTTGCTCCGCTGTGCCTCTGGAATCCCGCGCGAAAAGACTTGGAGCCTCACCCAGCCCGAGGTGGCGATATCTTCACGGCGTGGCGGCGCCGCACCCTCATCCTCTGGAATCGGTTGTGCTCCGCACTTAGCTTGGCCGCGTATGCGCCCTGCCTCGGCAACAGGCAAATCAGCTTGTCCGTCATTTTGTGCGGTTTCACGTGCCATACCGCCTTATGCTGCTGCTGCTCGCTGCACTCCTTTGGTTCCTGGTGGCTGGGAAATGGATCGGCCTTTCCCGCCGTATGTACTTGACGTGACCATCCGTGACTCTTTGCTTGGCTCAGCCCCTGGCCCCGACGACATGTTGAATGAATTCCTGCACCGTCCCGGGCCCGTTGCGCATGTCACACTTAGAACGATGATCCACAACTCCTTCGCAAACGGCAGCCTGCCTGGCTCCTGGAAAATGGGAGACGCTATTTCTATCCCCAAGCCCGGGAAGGATCCATGCCGCCCAGAGAGCTACAGAACTATCACGCCACTCTCTGTTTTACCAAAGTTAGCCGAAGGAATGATTCACCGCCGTCTGTCAGCGTTATTGCCGCACCACCCACGTCAATTTCGGATTTGCACCTCCGCGTTCTGCGTCGGACGTGGTGGCACTTGTTATCGACACATTACTCGTGGATTGAATGAGTTTGGCATTGTGGAGCATGAGCGCCCTGGAGACGACGCCCCCACACGACGCCCTCGTCGCCATCGCTCGTGGTCTCGATTGATTTTCCGACTGCGTTCGACACCACTGACCATGGGAATTTATTCTGCATGCTTGACAGACTTCCGCGCCTTGGCCTCGAACCAAACGCTGGCTGCACAACTACCTGCGGGGCCGCTATGTTGGGGTATGCGCTCGAGAACAGCACTCCCGGAAACAACTCGCCTCAGCTGGAGCACCGCAAGGCGGCGTCCCGGGACCCCAACTCTCCCTCTACTGTGTGGATGATCTGCTGCGCCGCCTGGGCAGCATCTATTCTGCCTCCGCATTCATGTAAGCTGACGAACACACGCTTGTTGCCTTGTGTGCAGACATCCATGCCTGTGCTGCGGCAATGCGACCGCTCTTGTCTCTTTTGTGGCCACATGGGCTGCCGAGCACAGCCTAAAAATCAACGTCGCTAAGAGCGAAGCTGCTCTATTCCACATCGCTTCACACACACACGGTCTGACGAGGACATGGTCGATCTCCATCTTGTTAGCGGGAACCTGCGTATTCAGTCACGCCCAGTGCGCTTGCTGGGCAACACGTTCGATCAACTTCTTAATTCTGTTACGCACGCTTCCACCGCTGCAAAGAGGACCATGCCACGCCGCTATCAGCTGCGTCTGGGCGCAGAAGCGGACGCGTCCCATCACACCATGCGATCCTTTTTGATTGGATACGTTCATAGTGTGCTATTTCATAGTGGCGAGGCTATTGTCCCGTGACTCGCCCCCACCCACCTCCACAATATGGAGGTACGGTACCGCGACGGTAGCAAAACATTCTTGGCCTGAGCGCATCTACGGAAGACACATCTGTCTATTTGGAGGCCAATATTCTTCCGCTCCGGAAGGTACTCTGGCGTCGTGCACTCACACAATACGAACGCTATATACGCCTCCATGATCACGAGGATTTGCGTTTCCTTATCTACTCGCAACCTATGCCTCCGTCCATGCATGGGAAAGCGGCGACATCAATCCGCTTCCGAGAGATGCTGTTATTAATGGATTGCTACGCGTCTGTGACATTATTGGGACACCCCACAACCACATTTGCGCCTCTTGCCCAACATCGAATTTTTCCCTGGGACACTGTGATCTGCAACAACGTGAGATTTTATCAGCCACTGTTTGCCGAAGACGCCTCTGACGATGTCAGGCGCACGGCTTTCTATTCTACTCACTCCTCTTTGGGGGATTGTGATTTTGAACTGTGGACGGACGGTCCTTCGTATCTCGCTGCACTCGCATCCGGATCCGCTGCGCTATTATATGACTCCACCACGACAAATGATCTCCCTGTGGAGGTACATCGTGCAGCAGCTGGCAGCCTCGCATGCTCATATGGGGCAGACTGCCTTGCGATCGAAAATGTTTTTAGACATCTCATACCTCCTTGTCTGGAAACATCCCAATCGCCCACGCCAATGCTGGAGGAAACGGACTCCCTCTCGGCAATGGAGGCACCCCGCGTCGCCCACCGACCGTGCGAGACCGCGTTACTGAGTAAATTTGGATTATGCTGCTTTCCTTGGTAGAGCGAGGTCACCCTGTGGATTTTATATTTTCCCATCACACTGCGGTATTCCACGCAGTGAGGCCGCTGACAAACAAGCCACGATTGCACGATCCCTCTCGCAGGACTGCGTCAATGCCTGGCACGTGGACTTCCTTACCGCCGTCAAGAGGTTATAATGGAAGGATGCCCAGGAGGAAAAGGAAGGCGCGCACACCGCGTGACAGGCGCCTGTCGGTGTGGCGAGGACTCTATTCCTGGTGTTGACCCGGACATCGGTCCCCGAGTGGCGGCACTGCGCACAGGCGCGATGCGACACCTGCCCACTCTTCGGCAGGCCTGCACGCGCCCTGCGGATCACAAGGAACCCTCTGTGTCGGTGGTGCCGTCCCTCCCTCACTGCGGTGACCGGCCCGTCACTGCCTCCGCCGGAACCTCTTCCCGACGTGAGCACCGCAACTCCTTGTCGACCAGCGAGCGGCGGATTGACGTCCTCCTGCCCAACCTGCGGCAGAGTGCGCTTGTCCGTCCACAGTATGAGGGCACATGCCGGACGTGCTCAGCCTGGCGTTATAATAGTTTGCGAGGGCCTCCCATGCGGATGCCGCAATGGCGCCACCGTCTTCTTAACATGCGCCTCGCGCGCAGGTCGCCACCGAAGTTGCCAAGCATGCCAGCAGGCGAGACACGCAGGAAGCACAAACGCGGGTACTCGAGATGGACCAGGCTCTTCCGCCACCGCCTCATCACGGACGCCACGGGCTGCTGATCCCCGACGGACCACGGGAGACTCCGCCCCATCCACTGCGGGAATGCCCTCGTCGTTGGGAACTGGGACTGCGACTGTTTGTGACTGCCCCAGCCCGCACGACGGAATACTTGCCACTTTTGTACGGACGGCCCTTGCGCTACTCACTCGTTATTGTAGCAGCATACAACCAAAAACAGGATAATAAGCTGCTTTGTGGTGAATATTGGCTGCACTTCCCGTGGACCAACAATCCACATGGTGTGCGGGGATCTTCTTTTTATTATTGTTACTTTGCTTTTGTGTTGCTGTGTGCGCCGCACCTTCTTGTGTGTGTGCGCACCCTCCGTGAGGGGTGCCGACACGACGGACCGCTCTCGCCGCATGTGCATGCGGTGGAGCCTTGTGTGCCGCTCCTGTTTGCTTCTCCCTCTTCCATCTGTGTGTTGGTGTTGCGGCAGGGCTGTGTGTGTGTGTGTGCCTGCTGCCGTGGATTGGAGTGTGTGTCGTGCGTGGTGTGCGGCGTACGGTGCATGCCTGGCTGCTGCCCTCTCCTCATGTGGCGTGCTCTCTGTGTGTGTCTGCCGCACCTCTCGTCTCCCCTGTTGCTCTCCATGCCCCTCACTGTGCAGATCAGCTCCACACAACTGAACGACCACACTCATGATGATGACGACGTGCCGTCTGCTGTGCGCCCTGTTGGTGCTTGCCCTGTGCTTCTGCCCGTCCGTGTGCGCGTCAGAGTCTGAGACGGCTCAGGTTGAAGATATTGTAAGCGGAACCTATTCACCGTCTCAGGTACCAGGAGGATCACCCGGGGTCAGTGAGCCGCTGTCACCAATTACGTTGTCCACTGCGCGAGGGGCACCAATGACTGTGATCGGTTAATCAATGTCGTCAGGTGAGGTGTCCGGTTTGGTACCGGGAAAAGATGGCGAAAAGAGAGCAGATGCGACTGATGCGTTACAGAAAAAAGATAGGATTGATATGACAGCGCCAGAGACTTCAGATACAAGTCCGGCAGATGGTCTGCTAGGGAATCAAGATAGAGCGGGCTTGGAGCCTAGTACAAAAGAGCAAACAGTTCTGGGGACCGGTGAGGGCGGTACGACAGTATCACAAAGTCGCACGAGACAGCCGGCAGAAGAAACAATTGAGAGCGCCAAAGGCCTTGCCAAGACGACTAAGACCACTGCAATAAAGTCACCAGAGGGAGCATCACAGGGGGATTTGCCAGCGAAAGCAACACATCTAACACCATCACCGCCAGTGGAAGGGCCACTCCCCAATGCAGATAAGGCGCCGGTGCCGCAGCCAGAGGAAGACTCAGTGAGCATGAAGCCAAACAAAGATTTGGCAGAAGAGGATATCGCCACCACCGTAGACACAGATCAGAATGAAACATCTAGCGGTAGAGCCGAATCAACCACAACAACAACCCTCGTTGCCAGCGATAATGCAAATAACGAAGCAGACAGAAGCACTGGAGAAGATATTCCGAACAATACACCGGATTCCGATGTGTCAGGGACGGAAGAAAGGCGGGATGAAAATAAATATAATAATACGAAGAAAACACCGGTCCAAGTCGCGGATATAAAAAGTGTCACGGTGGCGTCTGGCAACAGTGACAGCAGCACCGCGGTCTCCCACACCACCTCCCCTCTTTTGCTTCTTGTTGTTGTTGCTGCTGCGGTGGTGGCCGCGTGAGAGTGAGTGTGAGAGAGCCGTGCACCGCCCGCACACACACTCTTCCTTCACTCTGTGTGTGTCCCCTTGCATGGACTCTCGCCCTCACCTCACCCCACGAGGCACACACATAATGTGCCCATTGTATATATGCATACACACCCATGCAGGCCCGTTGGTGCTCTCTTTTGCACGACACGCACCGCTGCCGTCCTGCCTGGCTGCATGGGCGGAGCACCGTAACTGTTTCTGTTTTGTTTTTATTGCATTGAGTGGGCGACCTCTCTCTCTCCCTCTGTGTGTGTGTTTTGCTTTACGGGAGTAATGAGAGTGTGTGCGCTGGTCGTCCCACGCTTCGGCTTTTTGTTTTGTTTTCCTTTTTGATTTTGTGGTTGAGTGCACCCATTCCGCGGCTGCGTGTTTGTGTGTGTGATGATATGAGTAATTTGCGTGTGTGCTATCTGCCTCTCTCTGCCGTTGCTTTCTTCAGACTCTCTTGTGGCGCACAGCTGCTCTGCAAGTATAGGCGCTGGAAAACACATGCACACACACGCCATTATGCACACGCTGTAGAGAGGCGTGATTGCTAAGAATGGATGCACGCACAGGATTGTGGCTGCGACGTCCCTTGCGAGGAGGGAGGACGGGAGCCTGCGATTTATTTTTTGACACGTTGCTGGCGTGCATTGAATTGGGTGGTGTGGCTTAGGGTGCCTGGGACAAGTGCGGATTGATTCTCGTCCAGCAGCTGCAGGTGCCAATGTGTATCTCCCATGCTGAGTATACTTTGGTCAGGGATTCCTTGCCTGTGTGGGTGATGTGCGCTGGCGGATGCGCTGGAAGGGTGAACAGTAAAATGACTGGTGAGAGCGCGTGGGCTTTGCGGAGGGCGGTTGTGCCGTTTTGCATTCCGCTGGTTGTTTTGTGTGTTTGTGTTGCTTGGTGTCTGCTGACGCGTGGCAGAAGCACCCGCCGTGGCTTCTGCTGGTGGTGACCGTCGCTGTGTGTTCCCGGTGCAGCGATCTTCCTTCTGCTGTTCCGTGTGTCTGTGTGCGTGAGTTGTTGTTGTTGGGAGTGAGTGGGGCGTGGATGATGATGCCACTCACTGTGGATGGGTGGCGGTGCTCGCTGTTGTACTTCTTTTCTTGATATTTTTTCCTTTATTTCTTTCTAACCCTCGCAAAGAAGGGAAACAAGCGCTAAACACTACTGTGAATTTTGAAGGCACTGAAAGGACCAACAGCACACACACAAACACCGCCCACACACACATATTTATATGCTCTCACGTGTTGCTGCAGTGAAGGCACCCCGCACACACAGCCGTCGCCGCGTGACCGGATCCAGCGGAAGGAGGAGGGAAGGAAGAGAGAGTGAGCCGCGGAGGCCCAACATGTCCCGGCGTGTGTTTACTTCCGCGGTGCTGCTCCTCCTCGTCGGGATGATGTGCTGCGCCACCTGTGGAGCTACGCAAGCTGTGGAGCCGTCGTCTGAAAAAAAGTCTGAATGGAAGGACGCTAATGACGATGGTGTAACTGTGGAGTCGTTTGGTGTTCCCGGCCTTCTAAATGTGGGGAATGACGTATTTGTCGTTGCCGAGGCGCAGTGCAAGAAGGATGAAAACAAGGTCTTTACTGGTATTGCATCCCAACTTCTTACGAAAGATACTTCTGACGAACCAATGGAAGTGCTAAATGGAGCCAAAGATAAGACACAAGTTCTGGAGGAAGGCGCTCCCACAAGCAAGAGAGTAGATGTGAGCCGACCAACAACGGTTGTGGATGGAGGTGATATTTACATGCTTGTTGGAAAATACAGTGGGAATGCTGATGCTCGGGAGAGTGCTGCAGCTCAATCGGGAATTTTGCTGGTGAAAGGAACAGTCAGTGGTGAAGAAAGTAACAAACAAATTGACTGGAAAGATACCAACGCTGTCCCGACGACACCTTTCGGCGAACAACTTTCATCCTTGACAGGACTGATTGGCGGCGGTGGATCGGGTGTTAAAATGAAGGACGGTACGCTTGTGTTCCCAGTGGAAGGCACGAAGGAGGAAGTTGGGCAGAAGGAAGCTGCGGGTGGAAAGACTTTCTCACTGCTCATGTACACTTTGGATACTTCGAAGAAAATTGAGAGTTGGAAGCTGTCGAAGGGGATGTCTGCCGATGGCTGCAGTGATCCCTCCGTGGTGGAGTGGGAGGAGGGAAAACTCATGATGATGACTGCGTGTGGTGATGGCCGCCGCAGGGTGTACGAGATCGGTGAGAAGGGGGAGTCGTGGACGGAGGCCCTCGGGACACTCTCGCGCGTGTGGAGCAGCAAACAAAAAGGTGGAGAGGTCGAAATTGTTGGAAGCGGGTTCATCACAGCGAATATTGGTGACGGTGTTGAAGATGATAAGAGAAATGTGATGCTCATTACTCTGCCGGTGTATTCCGAAAATGTGGAAAATGGCGTACTCCATCTTTGGCTGACGGACAATACGCACATTGTTGATATTGGGCCGGTGTCCGGGAACGATGATGATGTTGCCGCCAGCGCCCTGTTGTACAAAAGCGGAGATAATAATGAGGAGTTGATTGCACTGTACGAGAAGAAGAAGGGCGATGAGAAAGAAAAACCATCACCCGGTATGGTCTCTGTGCGTCTGACTGAGCAGCTGCAGCGGGTGAAGGATGTGCTAGCGACCTGGAAGAAAGTGGACGAACATGTCTCCCAGCTGTGCACCTCAAGTGCTGAGGAAGATACCTCAACTGAAAATGCCTGCAATACTGGTAAGATCACGGATGGGCTGGTTGGCTTTTTGTCCGGCAACTTCTCTGATGGCACATGGAGGGACGAGTACCTCGGCGTGAACGCCACAGTAACGAATGGGGTGGCAACAGGGTATGCGGAGAAGGGCGTGAGGTTCACTGGAAGTGGTGCAGGAGCGGAGTGGCCTGTTGGCAAGCAGGGGGAGAATCAGCTGTACCACTTTGCGAACTACAACTTCACTCTTGTGGCGACGGTGTCCATCCACGGTGTGCCGAGGGGAGATACCCCCATTCCATTGATTGGTGCGAAGATGAATGACAGTGAGAATCCAGTACTTCTTGGACTGTCGTACGACAATGAAAATAAGTGGCGTGTGTTGTGCGGCGGAGAGAACACGGAGCACAGCAGTAATTGGGAGACAGAGACACAGTACCAGGTGGCCATTGTGCTACATAACGGCAGTCAGGGCTCTGCGTATGTCGATGGTCAGCGTGTGGGGAATGCGCAACTTGCTTTACAGGATATTGAAGGATCTAAAGGGATCTCCCACTTCTACATTGGAGGGGATGGAGGCAGCGCAGAGGCTCAAGAAGGCGTGCCTGTGACGGTGAAGAACGTATTACTGTACAACCGCCCGTTGGATGGCACTGAGATTACCACGCTTGCCAAAAATACAATTACTAATCCGAAGCCGGAGGATCCGAAGACACCGACGACAAGTCCTCGTTCACCAGCGGCAAGTGCACCGGATGTGGAGGTATCCCTGCACCGGTCTAATTCTTCCGGGCAACTGCCGTTGGAAGAGGAACCGTTGAGGGCGAATATTGGTGCTGGTGCTGGCGGTGTATCCAGTGCAGTTTCCGTTACTACGACTCCCTCGTCTGATGCTAGCCCAACGGTGGCGACAGGGAGTGGAGACACAATGCGGGGAAATGGATCACCCCAAACTCCTGAGGCGACCGTGAGCTCTGGTGCGGATGGGGAGACGACGGGAGGAACGGATGGGCAGGAGGGAATCCATTCACAGAACGGGGAAGTAAAGTCTGCGGCACTCAGCAGCAGCCTCGGAAATTCGTCGCAGGGGAATAACAGCGATGCGTGCACTGTGCGTGAGAGCGGACTGCTGCCGTTGCTGCTTCTTCTGTTGGGACTGTGGGGGTTTGCGGCTGCGTGAGGCGTGATTGGCTGCCGCGTGGGACAATTGCGACCTCCCCAGCAGAGAATTACTTCCCCGGGAAAGAATGTTTTTGATACTTTTACTTTTTTGTGTGTATTTTAAATTTATTTTAATGTTTGCTACTTTCTTGTTTTTTTTTTTTCCTCTTTTATGTGTTTGTGATTTTCATTTTTTTTTGTTGCTTTTCAGTACGCTTTTTAATTTTTTATCTTCTTTCAAACTTTTTTCTATTTCTTAATACCCCATTCCCTTTTTTTTTTTTTTGCTTTTGGGGCAGTCACTATGGACGTTTTTTTCTTTTCTACTCTTCCCTCTTTAATTGTTTCTTCTGCACTCTTCCTGCGAGGGGTGCCGTGTGTTTCCGCCCAACTGCTCCACTCGCACACCCACCGACACGCTCGTGACGACGGCCCTGTGCGCCTCGCCTGCTGCACGCATGAGGAGGGGCCGCGACGAACGGCGCGCTGAGGGAGCCGTGACGTGTGGGCGTGCGACGAGGGCCGGTGGGGCGGAGCACACATTTCTTTCCCTCTTGTTTTGTTTTCTTTGCGGCCAGGGCTGGCAGACACCCGCAGCACCACACACACAGCCACACCCTGCCGCCGTGTTTTTAAGATTTTTTGCTTTTCGTGTGAATTTCTTGCGCCGGCAGTCCCTTCGGGGTCTGTCTTGTGAGCATTTCTCTCCCCTCCGATGATTTCTTTTTCTTTTGCTGCGCTCACTCTCCCGATGGAGTGACGCGACCGCCGTCATGTCTGCGTGCTTCTCTCAGTCCCCACACACACGAGTGACTGTGCTCTGCGGGCCGCACTCACGCGCCGATGAGAGGGCTGAGGGGAGCAGCAACACGCAGATGACCCCATGAAATATAAACGATGTGCGGACACATGGAGGGTCGGACGGTTCAAAGGCATTTAAATATCTTTTAATTTTCGGACAAAATGTGCGCAGACAGTTTGGTGTGGCCACACGGCAGCCGGCTGTCTTTTGTGTGGAACAGTAATGGACGACTTCTTTTTTATTTATAATTATTTTGTGTGATGGGGTTTACATAAGACGAAGGGGAAGGCTTTTTTATTTTGGATAAATCTTGTGTGAATTGCTTCTGCTCGGGCTGCAGTGCAGTCATGAGTTTGAGCGGTCTTCTTCTAGTTGTTGTTTCCGCCATGCATCTCCGCTGTACATTTTTGTGCGTCTCTCCGCATACTCTGCTTCCTCTTTTCTACTTCTTTGCTTTGTGTTTCTGCAGACACACACACAAGATGCACATTGCGGTGGATTTGAATGCTCCTTTTGCAGTGCATACTGGCAGCTGCGTGTGGCGGCTGTTGTCTTCTTCCGTGGCCATGAGAAGAAGGGAGGAGAGGGAGTGCGCAGCCCGAGTCTCTTTTCCTGTGGGTTTGATGCACCGCGTGTGACTGCGCTGAGTTAGGCTCCAAATCCCATTGAGGGCAGGATGGCATGAAATTTTGTTGCCGCGTTATGGATGGATGAGGGTTTGCTTGCGGTTGTGGCTGGTGTGGTGGTGCTCACTCCGTGTGCGTGACGGCTGCTGGGAGTGCTGGAGATGCATCTGGTGATGCGGATGCGGTGGTTGTGCCGGTGGATGTGTCGTGTGCTCCGAGTGACGGCAGCCTGAGCTATCGCGTGTGTGTGTGGGCGTGGACGAAGTGTTCCGCTGCCAGTGCTGAGGCTCAGCATGAGAATTATACTTTCAGTGGCTTTGATGTGCACATGCATGGCAGGAATGGTGAGCTGGGTGCTGTGTGCCATGTGGCCAATGCGGCGCACACATGTAGCAACTGTGCTGTCAGCTGTGCAACGGAAGAGGAAGGGGCCACCGCTGCCTTCACTTTGAATGTGACGACAGACAAATACGCCGGCCCTTATGAATTTTAGTGGCGCCAATTTTCCCCGATGGAGCCATCCATCCGCCTGCACGGAGCAGCGATGCTGACCGGACGGGCATCTGTCAGTTGCCGCCACCCCGTGAAGGGAAGGATGACACAAAATCTGGTGGGACAACTGCGCCGCAAGTTAATGCTGAGCCGTCACGTCAAAACGAGGTTTGGCGACGGTCTGCGGCGGCTGACGGACCCAACACCGTCGATCGGAGTCCCGCATCCAACACGGCGACCAACACGTCCGAGACGAGGCCTGAGTTTGCCTTTGTTCGGAAAATGAAGATGGTTCCGACACCACCCAAGAGGAAGCCTAGCACTGCCATGAGTCGGAGAATAGAAATGGATCTGAATGCATTCGTGACGAAGACTGCGCTCGCCACCGCGTTGAGGAAGGCAGTGGGCTCGAGGGATGCCCGTAAGACTGAGACCGTTGACGGCAGCGGCGAGCACGTTCCTGGGAAAATTGCGGGAGGAATGAATGGTCAGAACGTCCCCGGAACACCAAAACGGCATCAAGAAATGTGTCCTTGCGCGATCTGGAGCGGCGTGAGTCCAGACGGCCGCCTCGCCCTGTTTGACGACGTGGAGTTGATACCACGCGATTCAACTGGCGGCCGCACTGCGCGTGTGTGCGTGTCTCTGGCGTTGCTGCTGCTGCTGCTGGAACTGTGTGGAGTTGTGGTAGTCCTTCGAGCGAAAGAGGGTGGGATTGTGACTCCCCACGGGGGATATTTGCCGCATACTTTGCGGGTTTTATGTTACTTTTTCTCCTCCTCTTTTTTAATGATTTACGGATCGCTTTTTAAACCTTTTTTTTCTTCTTTGTAATGTTCTTTTTGTTGCTTTTCCACTGGAGTAATAAGTGCCCTTTTTTCTTCTCATTATTTAATGTTCGGTTGATGTGCACTGGAATGGGCGACGTGTTTTCTCTCTTGTGTGTTTGTTTTTTGCTGTTGCCCACACGCGGTGCCGGCTCCGCTGCTGTGCTTCCCACGGACTGCAGGAACGGGGATTGGAAGAAGAGGCCGGATGCCGCGTGAAATGTGAGGGATGTTGTGTGGGCTGGTGGAGTAATAAGATTTTTTTCTTTTTTTTTATTACATTTTTTACTTGTGCAGGTAATATTTATGCGCACGTGATAGCCTTGTGCTGCATGGCACACGAAATGGAAGTCCTACTGATTCATTTTAGTTTCTTTTTTCTTTTTTAAAAAATCCCTGCGGACTTCTTTTTGTCCGTGCCGTGTCCACTGTCATTGTTTGCCTCCGTGTGTCGTTGGGTGTCCCTCTGCTGGCTGTGTTTCTGAACTGCCCTCATATCTTTTTCTTCTTTTCTGCTAGAGGCGACGATGGTTTGCGACGACGGTTGTTTGTGCTACCCATTGCGAGGGCACGAGGGTGACTGGGTGCCGGCCTCCTGAGTGCCCTCGGAGGGAGAAGATGGTGTGCGCCGTGCCTCACTGTGAGTGTGGGACGCCACTAGCCGTGCGGAGAGAAGTAAATGGCTGTGCGGTATGTAATTGGATGCACCCCGTCACTCTCGTTGCCGCCGTGTGTGTGCTGAGCGCATGGCAGTATCTTGCGGTGCGAAGTGGATGGCATTGCTTCCGCGTGTGCCCTCGTGCATGCGCTGTGCGGCGGGCATCTCTTCCCCATGACACCGCCCTTTTCTGTGGGACAGTGGAGGGAAGTGGAGATGTGTGAGGGAGTGAGGGTGGCCGTTGTTTCCGCACATTTGCTTCTTCCACACACGTGGCGCCTCTCGGCAGCCTCTCGCAGCACCCAGACTGTGGATCGAGAGGATGTGAGGGTCTGCTTCAAGTACACGGAGGACGACAAGATGCAGTGCATGACGGCCAATCTGATCGGCCTGTGGTTGCAGCGCATGGAGCACGTGCGCCAGTACGCGTTGGGCGTTGCGTTCATGATTGGGGAGGAGAGGCGGCACGACATTGTGGCGCTGTGGGTGTTGCGCGGCCGTGGCATGCCGACGATTGTGAGGGACGTTGAGGACACGGAGCTGTTCGACTGGGAAGAGGTGACGGACTTTGCGGCGCAGCGGGAGCGCATGACGGACTGCCCGTGCTGTGAGGGGCGCGTGTTGAAGTGGGCGTGGCGTGCCTGTGAAGGTCCGAGGAGAGGGAATAACAGTAACAGTGACTGTGAGAGTGTGAGGAACAGGGCACTGGCGAGGTGCACTTCTTTTTTTGATTGTTGTTGAACCATGCCCACCTAATTGTTGTGGTGGTGCGTGACTCTCATTGATGGATGGGACGGTTCTTGGCTTGTCTCTCCTTTTGCTTTTGCTCTGCGTTGACGGGGAGTTAGTTTGTGCTGAAGGCTACACGCAAGTGACAGGAGTGCTGGCGATGATGATGACTGGCCGTGTGCTGCTGGTGTGTGTCCTCTGCGTGCTGTGATGCGGTGCCGGTGGTGGTGACGCGTGGCCTGTGTGCTACTGTGCTGATGGTGGAATGGACGACGCGGGGCTTGCGAGGGGAATGGATGGCGAAGTGGTGTTTGCGAGGAGGGACTGCGTGTCGAGTGCCGCCTTACGGGGAGTAGCCGCGGCGGTACCGGCCGGTGAGGACGGCGGCGTTGGTGCAAGCGGAACGCTCAACAGTGATGCAGGACAACCACCGGTCGGTGATGCAGGGAGCGGGACTGAAGCTCAGCGGCAGTGGGGCTGCACCAATGGCTTCATCTTCTTCTGCTGCCGATACAGACGCTGCCAGCAGTACTCCTGTCTCGGGTGCTGGTGGTGGTGTTGGCCCAAGCAGCAGCCCGCAGTTGTCTCCGGCGTCCAAGACGATCCTCCCGCTGGTGGAAGTGTGGCAGGAGAAAGGGAGGAGGCAGGCTCAGCATGCTGCGGCGAAGAGCCGTCAATGTCGAGTGTGTGCTCCCAACCGCCACAATTTTCTGCGGGGTCGGCAACTCTCACCGTGGAAGAGAGGGATGGAAAGAAAGGCAGCGCGTCAGCTACAAATATTCAGAGCGACTGGACACAACAGGAACGAGAAGGGCCACACGTGCTCAGGACGGGGGAGAGCGCACGGAGAACTCCAGCACCAGCGCCAGCAGAAGGACAAACAGCACATGCGACGCAGCCGTCCGAGGACTCAGCAGAGCATGCGGCTGCACCCAGCTCGGGTCTCACACGGGGCGCATCGAACGGCGACAGTCAAGAGCAAACACCGCAGCTTCAAACAGCGACTGACGCTGAACAGAGTGTGTCCGTGGTACAGGGAGTGCCAGAATGGGCTCAGGAGGACCAGGGGATGTGGTGAAAGGAGCAAAAAGAAATCCGTAATGTTTGACTGGCAGCGCGCACAATGCAGAGCATGCACCTGCGGCTGAAGCACCCGAATGACTGTCTGCTTCAAGCACCAGTCGTTCCCCTGGACATCCGGGCACAGAGTCTGCTTCAAAGTCGCTCTCTGGAAATTATCGATCGTCTACGACCGGTGCAGCAGAACAGGGAGAAGCACGGCCAATGCCCCTGCGACAGCCAAAACCGCCGGCAAAAGGAGGTGCAGAGGAGGAGGCAGCACCGAAGAAAAAAGAAGCATGGGAGGAATTGCCGCCAACAGCAGCAGAATAAGAGGCGCCAGCAGACCCATCAGAACCGCCAACGAAATCACCACCACACAGCGCACTGCCATCCTCAACGGAAGTCCCAGCGACCATGAAGCCAACAGAAGATCTGCAGAAAAGGCACTGAACCAACAGCGGATGCAAGGCAGAATGCACTAACTGAGGGTCAGGCTGAGACAACTTCACCATCTTCTTCTGCGGATGCTGCTGCTGCCGCCAATGACGCTGACGCGGGCAATGCGGAGATTTTGAACGGTGGTTCAGCATCTCATGCCGCTGTGCCGGAGGGAGAACACCAACATGAACGAGAGGATGGCAGCGAGAAGGAAACAACATCATCTACAGCCACAGACAAAGCGAATAACACAGCGGCGCCTGGCGACAGTGACAGCAGCACCGTGGTCTCCCACACCACCTCCCTTTTTTGTTTCTTGTTGCGTGTTCAGCAGCTCCTTTTGCGGTGGTGGCCGGGCCTGCATGAAGTGGAGTGCGATGAATGTGGACGAAGGCCTACTGCAAATGAACTGCTTGTGGTGAATATTGGCTGCAATTCCCGTGGACCAACAATCCGCGTGGTGTGCGGGGATCTCCTTTTTGTATTGTTACCTTGCTTTTGTGTTGCTGTGTGCGCTGCACCTTCTTGTGTGTGTGCGCACCCTCCGTGAGGGGTGCCGACACGACGGACCGCTCTCGCCGCATGTGCATGCGGTGGAGCCTTGTGTGCCGCTCCTGTTTGCTTCTCCCTCTTCCATCTGTGTGTTGTTGTTGCGGCAGGGCTGTGTGTGTGTGCCTGCTGCCGTGGATTGGAGTGTGTGTGGTGCGTGGTGTGCGGCGTACGGTGCATGCCTGGCTGCTGCCCTCTCCTCATGTGGTGTGCCCTCTGTGTGTGTCTGCCGCACCTCTCGTCTCCCCTCTTGCTCTCCATGTCCCTCACTGTGCAGATCAGCTCCACACCACTGAACGACCACACTCACGATGATGATGACGTGCCGTCTGCTGTGCGCCCTGTTGGTGCTTGCCCTGTGTTGCAGCCCGTCAGTGTGCGCGACAGCGAGTAGTCAGGATTCAGGTAAGGACGGCCCCACTTCTTCGGTTACTCAGTCACAGGGAACAGGTGTTTCAGGGGCAACAAATACTTCCACGACGTCAAGTTCAGCAGCTGCGGCCGTTGCGTCACCGGGAAAAAGTGGAAAGTCCGATGCGCAAGGGGCTCCAGGTGCGGAATAGGCTCCGCCAGAAAATCCAAGTGGGGCGACCGCTCTGGCAGGAAGTCCAGGTCCAACAATTCCGGTGCCTATTACAAAAGAGAGTTCAGGTGGGTCCAGCAGTTCAGGGAGTCGAGTTCCGGTGGCCGATACGGTACAGAAAAATGGCGAAAACGATACGAGAGAGTCAAAAAGTGGCAATAATCCATCCACAGACCATGCGAATACGAATTCCGACGATTCGGACAAGAAGACCACGGCGACTACTACCACTACTACGACAACCACGACGACCACCACCACTGTGCCAGAGGCACCAAGTACTACGACTACAGAGGCGCCAACTACGACGACCACCCGCGCACCGTCACGTCTTCGCGAAATCGACGGCAGCCTCAGCAGCTCTGCGTGGGTGTGTGCCCCGCTGCTGCTCGCCGTATCCGCGCTGGCGTACACCGCTGTGGGCTGAAGAGATGTGTGCGGGCTGTACGTGCCAGCACTCAACCGCGGGGATTTGTGCGCGTGTGTTGTGGTTCACTGTATAAAATAAGAGGAAATAATGATCTTGTTTTGCTTCACTTGCTTCCGCTGCCGTGCTGTGTGCTCCGCGTTGTGCCCCGCATCCGTCACGTTGAACGCATCGCGGACACACTCATGAGCATGCGCACTGGAGCCCTGGGTTTGTTTTCTTTTCTAATTTCTTTTTAATTATTGTTTTTTATTGCCTTTTAAACTTGTGGTTTGCTGGGCGGTGTGCGAGCTCTGCAATCGTACTGATTCCATCTGTCTCGTGGTGTGTGCGCTGCTGCTGGGGTGCTGCCATTTGTTGCTGTGCGGTGGCTGTGCGTGGTGTAGCGGCTGTGTCTATCTTTTTGCTTTTCACTCTGTTGACGTGGTGTTGCTTTTGCTGAAGGCCACACGTAAGTGACAGGAGTGGTGGCGATGATGACTGGCCGTGTGCTGCTGGTGTGTGTCCTCTGCGTGCTGTGGTGCGGGTTTTCTTTGGTGTCGGCAGTTACCGGGGATGATCGTGAGCATTCCGGCCAAGGTGTTGTTGGGAGTGTTGGTCAACCTTCTTCCCCAGTTGGGGTCATGGTGATAATGGAGTTGTCACTGATGGAAGCTCTCTGAGCAGTGGAAGTCACTTGCCGGGTTCTGCTCCTACGGGTGGCAAACCTTCACTTCCCGGTGTTGGTGAGTGTGTGGGTTTAAATGAATCTAAGGATGCCTTAACTCTTGCAAAAGAGGGACATGAAGTCGTACGGGATCAGCATGAATTAGTGCCTCAAGTTTCGCACCACAATGATGCGGGAACAGGAGGGAAAAGCGATCTCAGTGCGCCAGAACAGTCGCCCAACGCAAAAACAGAATTAGAAAATGGTGGTGGTGTTTGTGGTGATGATGCTGCAACTGCGGAGGGTGAAGTAATAACCACCGTGAATGAAGAACAATTGGGCGGATCTTCCACGAGCGGCAGCCATCCACCAGCAGCAGACCGAGGGGCGAAGGAGCAGGAAGGCACAGTGGAACAGGCAGCATCAACAGTGGCACTGACGCCAGTGGTGGGGCGAGAAACACCGCCTAAAGGGGACACCGAAGAGGACTCACCGGAGGATAAAGCCGCAACCGGCGCAGGTGTCACACAAGATATACCAGCTGCCGGTCAACAACAAACACATTCTTCATCCACTTCTACAACTGGAAATGGTCCGACTTCTACTCCAGGAAAAGGGCGCGCTGCGGAGGACATTTCCAACAATAACGAACGATCCGGCAAAGCACTACTGCAAGAAGGAGCGGAACATGAAACTGTTGCTGGCAGCCAATCGCAAGCAATACCAGCAGCCACCGCCCGTAACACACTTGGCGCAACCGTTTCTGGCGGCAGCGACAACAGCACCACGATAACTACAGCCGTGCGGTCTGACACTGGCACAGAAGGCACTCCAACCAGCAATCATCCGAACCGACAATCCATTGAAGGCGCCACGTCACCCGGCATGAATTCCGATGGTGAAGCTGTATCACCCAAAAACTATGATACGGTACCTCAGAGTGCACGATCCACAGCAGCGCCAACCACAAACAACAAAACACGTGACACAGCTTCTCATGGCGACAATGACGGCAGCACCGCAGTCTCCCACACCACCTCTCTTTTGCTTCTTCTTCTTGTTGCGTGTGCGGCGGCTGCGGTGGTGGCCGCGTGAGAGTGAGGGAGAGAGAGCCATGCACCGCCCGCACACACACTCTTCCTTCACCCACTCTCTGTGTGTGTGTCCCCTTGCATGGACTCTCGCCCTCACCTCACCCCACGAGGCACACACAATAATGTGCCCATTGTATATATGCATGCACACCCATGCAGGCCCGTTGGTGCTCTCTTTTGCACGACACGCACCGCTGCCGTCCTGCCTGGCTGCATGGGCGGAGCACCGTAACTGTTTCTGTTTGTTTTTATTGCGTTGAGTGGGCGACCTCTCTCTCTCTCCCTCTGTGTGTGTTTTGCTTTACGGGAGCAATGAGAGTGTGTGTGCGCTGGTCGTCCCACGCGTCGGCTTTTTGTTTTGTTTTCCTTTTTTATGATTTTGTGGTTGAGTGCACCCATTCCGCGGCTGCGTGTGTGTGTGTGTGATGATATGAGTAATTTGCGTGTGTGCTATCTGCCTCTCTCTGCCGTTGCTTTCTTCAGACTCTCTTGTGGCGCACAGCTGCTCTGCATGTATAGGCGCTGCCAAACACACAAGCACATGCACACACACATGCAGTGTTGCAAACGCTGAGAATGCACGCACGCACAGGATTGTGGCTGCGGAGGCCCTCGTGAGGAGAGAAGAAGCCTGCGTTTTGTTTTTTTGACATATTGCGCGGTGTGTGCTGACGCGTGAATAACAACACACCCGCCGTGACTCCTGCTGGTGGTGGCGGTCGCTGTGTGTTCCCGGTGCACTGTTATTCCGCCTCGTTCCGTGTGTCTGCGTGCGTGAGTTGTTGTTGTTGGGAGTGACTGCGGCGGGGATGATGATGCCACTCACTGTGGATGGGTGGCGGTGCTTATTCTTTCACCCATATTTTATTAGCCTGTTTTTATTCATTTTTTTCTCACTCTCTTACGAAGAAAGCAAACAAGCACTAAACGCCACTGTGAAATTGTAAGGCACTGAAAGGACCAACAGCACACACACCGCCCACACACACATATATGCTCTCACGTGTTGCTGCAGTGAAGGCACCCCGCACACACAACCGTCGCCGCGTGACCGGATCCAGCGGAAGGAGGAGGGAAGGAAGAGAGAGTGAGCGGCAGAGGCCCAACATGTCCCGGCGTGTGTTTGCTTCCGCGGTGCTGCTCCTCCTCCTCGTGATGATTTTCTGCGGCACTGGAGCTACGCAAGGTGATGTGGAGGAACCGTCGGCAGTTCCAAAGTATCAATGGAAGGGCATCAGTGAAGGTGATGTAACTGTGGAGTCGTTGGGTGCTCCCGGCCTTTTGAAAGTGGGGAGTGACGTATTTGCCGTTTCTGAGGCGCAGTGCAAGAAGAAGGATGGAGAAGATGCCTTGACTGGCGTTGCATCCCAACTTCTCACGATAGAAGGCGATAAAGAACCGGAGGAAGTGCTTAAGGATGCCAGAGTGATACGAGTTCTGGAGGAAAGCACTTCTGCAAAGGAGACGAAGAGAGTAGATGTGAGCCGACCGACAGCAGTTGTGGGGGAAAGTAATATTTACATGCTTGTTGGGAAATACAGCCGTAAAGGTGGTCAGGAGAGTGGTGCCGATGACTGGGGATTCTTGATGGTGAAAGGGGAATTCAGTGATAAAGATGAAAGTAAAAAACAGATTGACTGGAAAGATACCAACGCTGTCCCGACGACAACTTTGGGCGAACAACTTTCATCCTTGACAGGACTGATTGGCGGCGGTGGATCGGGTGTTAAGATGGAGGACGGTACACTTGTGTTTCCCGTGGAAGGCACGAAGGAGGAAGTTGGGCAGAAGGAAGCTGCGGGTGGAAAGACTTTCTCACTGCTCATGTACACTTTGGATACTTTGAAGAAAATTGAGAGTTGGAAGCTGTCGAAGGGGATGTCTGCCGATGGCTGCAGTGATCCCTCCGTCGTGGAGTGGGAAAAGGACAAACTCATGATGATGACTGCGTGTGGTGATGGCCGCCGCAGGGTGTACGAGTCCGGTGACAAGGGGGAATCGTGGACGGAGGCACTCGGGACACTCTCGCGCGTGTGGGGCAACAAACAAGAGGGAGAAGGGAAGGGCGTTGGGAGCGGGTTCACCACAGCGACCTTTGGCACTGGAGGTGATGAGAAGAATGTGATGCTCGTTACTCTGCCGGTGTATGCCAAAGGAAAAGAAAAGGGCGTACTCCACCTTTGGCTGACGGACAACACGCACATTGTTGATATTGGGCCGGTATCCGGGAAGGACGATGACGCTGCCGCCAGCTCCCTGTTGTACAAAAGTGTTACGAGTGGAACTGATGATAATAAGAGGGAGGAGTTGATTGCACTGTACGAGAAGAAGGGCGATGGAGAATCATCAAACAGCCTTTGGTCTGTGCGTCTGACTGAGCAGCTGCAGCGTGTGAAGGATGTGCTGGCGACCTGGAAGAAAGTGGACGAACGTGTCTCCCAGCTGTGCCATTATAAAAGTGCTCTGGAGGACACCCCAACTGACACTGCCTGCAAAAACACTAAGATCACGGATGGGCTGGTTGGCTTTTTGTCCGGCAACTTCTCTGATGACACATGGAAGGACGAGTACCTCGGGGTGAACGCCACAGTAAAGAAGGGAACGAAAGGAGCGGCTGCAGGGGTAGCAGAGACTGCAGAGTCTTCAGATGGAGTGAAGTTCACAGGACGTGGTGCGTGGGCGGAGTGGCCCGTTGGCAAGCAGGGGGAGAATCAGCTGTACCGCTTTGCGAACTACAACTTCACTCTTGTGGCGACGGTGTCCATCGACGGTGTGCCGAAGCAGGAGGGTCCCATTCCAGTGATTGGTGTGATGATGGATGCAGAGAATCCAGTACTCCTGGGACTGTCGTACAACAATAAAGAGAAAAAGTGGCAGATGCTGTGCGGTGAGAAACCGACGGAGGTGCAAAACCACATTGAGGGGCAAGAGAAAACACACCAGGTGGCCATTGTGCTGCAGAACGGCACTCAGGGCTCCGCGTACGTCGATGGTAGGCGTGTGTTGGAGAATGTGCAATGCCAATTGGAAAGTGAGGAAGATAAAAAGATCTCCCACTTCTACATTGGAGGGGATGGAGTCAATGCAGAGAACACAGAGGGCCATGAAGGCGTGTCTGTGACTGTGACGAACGTCCTGCTGTACAACCGCCCGTTGGATGGCAATGGTATTACTGCTCTTAATGCAATTAAAGCCCTGATTACGCCTCCGAAGGAAAAAAGTGCGCAGGAAATCGTGGTGCCTTCTCCTGGTGGAACACCGCAAGCGGGACAGGAACCTTTGAATGGAGGTAAAGGTGCTGACGGCGGAAGTGCATCTCCATCAGCTTCCATTGCTTCGCCTTCCATACCTGTGGGGCAATCTGTGAACCAACTCGCGCCAGGAAAGCCTCCCGATGGAAATGCAGATGTGGATGTCTTTTCCTCGTCTAGCGGTAACCTGGCGGTGGGGGAGGGGAGTGCAGATACGACACAGGGGGATGGACCGCACACACCTTCCGTGGGTGATACCCCCGCCGCAGCAGATACAAACGTTCTTACCGCTAAAGGCGAGGGGCACGATGGACCCGCATTGACAGCTGATGTGAGCGTGAGCTCTGGTGCGGATGGGGAGACGGCAGGAGGAACGGATGGGCAGGAGGGAATCCATCCACAGAACGGGGAAGTAAAGTCTGCGGCCCTCAGCAGCAGCCTCGGAAATTTGTCGCAGGGGAATAACAGCGATGCCGGCGCTGTGCGTGAGAGGAGGGCGCTGCCGCTGCTTCTGCTGTTGGGACTGTGGGGGGTTGCGACTGTGTGAGGAGTGACTGGCTGCCGCGTGGGAAACTTGCGACCTCCCGAGCAGAGAACTACTATTCCCATGGGAACAAATTTCACTCATAAATCCTTCCTTTTTGCGTATTTTAAAATCCTTTTACTGTTTGCTTCTTTTTGGTTGATTTTACTTTTTTTTTCTAATCTCTCAATCCTTCGCTTTTGATTTTGGGGGCAATCACTGTGGACTTTTTTTTTCTTTTCTACTCTTCCCTCTTTAATTGTTTCTGCTGCACTCTTCCCGTGAGGGGTGCCGTGTGTTTCCCGTCCAACTGCTCCGCTCGCACACCCACCGACACGCTCATGATGACGGCCCTGTGCGCCTCGCCTGCTGCACGCATGAGGAGGGGCCGCGACGAACGGCGCGCTGAGGGAGCCGTGACGTGTGGGCGTGCGACGAGGGCCTGTGGGGCGGAGCACACATTTCTTTCCCTCTTGTTTTTTTTTTTTTTTGCGGCCAGGGCGGGCAGACACCCGCAGCGCCACACACACACACACCCTGCCGCCGTGTTTTTTTTATTTTTGCTTTTGTGTAAATTTCTTGCGCCGGCAGTCCCTTCGGTGCCGGCCTCGTGAGCATTTCTCTCCCCTCCGATGATTTTTTTTTCTTTTGCTGCGCTCACTCTCCCGATGGAGTGACGCGACTGCCGTCATGTCTGCGTGCTTCTCTCAGTCCCCACACACACGAGTGACTGTGCTCTGCGGGCCGCACTCACGCGCCGATGGGAGGGCTGAGGGGAGCAGCAACACGCAGATGACCCCATGAAATATAAACGATGTGCGGACACACGGAGGTCGGACGGTTGAAAGACATTTAAATATCTTTTAATTTTATTTTCGGACAAAATGTGCGCAGACAGTTTGGTGTGGCCACACGGCAGCCAGGCGATTTTTTAAATTTGTGTGGAACAGTAATGGACGATTTCTTTTCTTTTATTTATAATTATTTTGTGTGATGGGGTTTGTGTAAGACGAAGGGGGACGTGTTTTTTGTTTTGGATAAATCTTGTGTGAATTGCCGCTGCTCGGACTGCAGTGCAATCATGAGTTTGAGCTGTCTTCTTCCTGTTGTTTCCGCCATGCATCTCCGCTGTACATTTGTGTGTCTCTCCACATACTCTGTTCCCTCTTTTCTACTTCTTTGCTTTGTGTTTCTGCAGGCACATACGACCACGCACACAAGATGCACATTGCAGTGGATTTGAATGCTCCTTTTGCAGTGCATGCTGGCAGTTGCGTGTGGCGGCTGTTCTCTTCTTCCGTGGCCATGAGGAGAAGGGGAGGAGAGGGAGTGCGCAGCCCGAGTCTCTTTTCCTGTGGGTTTGATGCACTGCGTGTGACTGCGTTGAGTTAGGCTCCAAATCCCATTGAGGGCGGGATGGTTGTAGGTTTTTGTGCCGCGTTATGGATGGATGAGGGTTTGCTTGCGGTTGTGGCTGGTGTGGTGGGTGCTCGCTCCGTGTGCGTGACGGCTGCTGGGATTCCTGGAGTTGTATCTGGTGATGCGGATGCGGTTGTTGTGCCGGTGGATGTGTCGTGTGCTCCGAGCGACGGCAGCCTGAGCTATCGCGTGTGTGTGTGGCGTGGACGAAGTGTTCCGCTGCCGGTGCTGAGGCTCAGAATGAGAATTACACTTTCAGTGGCTTTGATGTGCGCATGCATGGCAGGAATGGTGAGCTGGGTGCTGTGTGCCATGTGGCCCATGCGGTGCACACATGTAGCAACTGTGCTGCCAGCTGTGCAAGGAAAGAGGAAGGGGCCACCGTTGCCTTCACGATGAATGTGACGACACATAAATACACCGGCCCCTATGAATTGTGGTGGCGTCAATTTTCCCGATGGAACCATCCATCCGCCTGCACGGAGCAGCGATGCTGACCAGACGGGCATCTGTCAGTTGCCGCCACCCCGTGAAGGGAAGGATGACACAAAATCTGGTGGGACAACTGCGCCGCAAGTGAATGCTGAGCCGTCACGTCAAAACGAGGTTTGGCGACGGTCTGCGGCGGCTGACGGACCCAACACCGTCGATCCGAGTCCCGCATCCAACACGGCGACCAACACGTCCGGGACGAGGCCTGAGTTTGCCTTTGTTCGGAAAATGAAGATGGTTCCAACACCACCCAATAGGAAGCCTAGCATTGCCATGAGTCGGAACATAGAAATGGATCTGAATGCATTCGTGACGAAGACTGCGCTCGCCACCGCGTTGAGGCAGTGGGCTCGAGGGATGCCCGTAAGACTGAGACCGTTGACGGCAGCGGCGAGCACGTTCCTGGGAAAATCGCGGGAGGAATGAATGGTCAGAACGTCCCCGGAACACCAAAACGGCATCAAGAAATGTGTCCTTGCGCGATCTGGAGCGGCGTGAGTCCAGACGTCCGCCTCGCCCTGTTTGACGACGTGGAGTTGATACCACGCGATTCAACTGGCGGCCGCATTGCGCGTGTGTGCGTGTCTCTGGCGTTGCTGCTGCTGCTGCTGCTGGAACTGTGTGGAGTTGTGGTAGTCCTTCGAGCGAAAGAGGGTGGGATTGTGACTCCCCACGGGGGATATTTGCCGCATACTTTGCGGTTTTTATGTCACTTTTTCTCCTCTTTTTTTAATGATTTACGGATCGCTTTTTAAACCTTTTTTCTTCTTTGTAATGTTCTTTTTGATGCTTTTCCACTGGAGTAATAAGTGCCCTTTTTTCTTCTCATTATTTAATGTTCGGTTGATGTGCACTGGAATGGGCGACGTGTTTTCTTTCTTGTGTGTTTCTTTTTTGTTGTTGCCCACACGCGGTGCCGGCTCCGCTGCTGTGCTTCCCACGGACTGCAGGAACGGGGATTGGAAGAAGAGGCCGGATGCCGCGTGAAATGTGAGGGATTTTGTGTGGGCTGGTGGAGTAATAAGATTTTTTTCGTTTTTTCATTACATTTTTTACTTGTGCAGGTAATATTTATACGCACGTGATCGTCTTGTGCTGCATGGCACACGAAATGGAAGTCCTACTGATTCATTTTAGTTTCTTTTTTCTTTTTTAAAAAATCCCTGCGGACTTCTTTTTGTCCGTGCCGTGTCCACTGTCATTGTTTGCCTCCGTGTGTCGTTGGGTGTCCCTCTGCTGGCTGTGTTTCTGAACTGCCCTCATATCTTTTTCTTCTTTTCTGCTAGAGGCGCCGATGGTTTGCGACGACGGTTGTTTGTGCTACCCATTGCGAGGGCACGAGGGTGACTGGGTGCCGGCCTCCTGAGTGCCCTCGGAGGGAGAAGATGGTGTGCGCCGTGCCTCACTGTGAGTGTGGGACGCCACTAGCCGTGCGGAGAGAAGTAAATGGCTGTGCGGTATGTAATTGGATGCACCCCGTCGCTCTCGTTGCCGCCGTGTGTGTGCTGAGCGCATGGCAGTATCTTGCGGTGCGAAGTGGATGGCATTGCTTCCGCGTGTGCCCTCGTGCATGTGCTGTGCGGCGGGCATCTCTTCCCCATGACACCGCCCTTTTGTGTGGGACAGTGGAAGGGAAGTGGAGATGTGTGA